GTAAACGTCCATCCCCAGTTCATGGTCTCCTAGCGGGATTCCGCGTCCCTGAATGATGCAAAGAGTTAACGCGGTTGGCTTCGGAATGGAAGGGTTGTCGGTTCGAGTCTGCTTTGAAGAGCCTTGGGAGAAAGGCCTGGCAAGATACACTCCCTGGCCACCACCACCCCCACCAAAAAAATGTAGGAAAGTATTGAGCACAAAAGAGGTCGCCATGAGTTGGATTTCACTAGATGTCAACTGTTTGCTTGCTTGCTTTGTTACACATAGTTCAATTAGCCGGGGGTCCGTTGCCATGAATTTGACTCTGACTCCTCAAATCTTCATAGGACCAAGTGGGACTACTGTGTAGGGTTTCCGAGGTGAGAATCAGCCTCGTGTTTCTCTCACGGAGCCGCAGTCAAGCACCTAACCGCTATGGCACGAGGGCTGCTGTCACCGGACAGTCTTCTCTAAGACCCGTCCCCTGCAAATATGTTTCGGCCAAAGCCAGCTTGGGGTGCCTCTTCTGTGGCCAGCACACGTGACAAGAAATAGCTAACTCACCTCATTCACTATCATCCGTCCAGTCGATCTGGACCCTCTGGGACAGGGTGGAACTGCTCCCTGGGGGGTTCTGAGGCTGTACCTCTTGACAGGATGGTGGGAGCTAGCCTCCTCTTGTCTCCCTTCAAGAGGATGGTGGGTTCAAACTGCTGACCTGTGTGGTTAGTGAGCCGGTGTGTAACCCACTGAGCCATCAGGGCTTCGTGCAAACAAAACATAGTCGTGCAAACAAAACTGCCGTGAGCCCTGCCCAGCTGGGGCCACATTTCCCCACCAGAGCCACGGTGGCTATATGGTACCCCTTTGTGCTCTGGACGTGAGAATGAGAGGCAGTGACACTCCACCTCTCTTTGCCAACTCCCCCACCTCAACTTTGGGATCCCTGACTAGTTGGGATCCTGAGCTGCCGGGTGGAGGTAGGAGCCTACCTTGAGATGCCTAGGGAGAGAGACCTGGTGATCTACAAATCAGACATTGAGACAAGAACCAGAGGGGGGTGGCTTCCACTCTGACACATGGGGAGGTCACCAGGAGTCAGAGTGGATTGGGAGGGGGGCAGTGGTGGCAGGTTTTGGTCCCCTCTGCTCTTTGCTGTTGTCCAGTGCCCAGCCCTGGCAGCTGTAGGAGTCTGTGCTGGCCGAGGGTGCTGTGTGTGACTGTGTGATGTTGGTAGCACAGACTGGATCTCATCACACAGTGAGTCAAGACTGGCTCGTACCAACCCTTCAGGACAGGGTAGGACTGGCTCCCGCCAGTTTCAGAGATTGGAATGTTTTAATGAGAGTAGAAAGCCCTGTCTTTCTCCTGCCGAGCTGCTGGGGGGTTAGAACTGCCGACCTTCCCGATCACATCCGAACGCTTGATCACTGGGCCCGCCGAGGCTCCTTGGGTGTCAATCGTCCTGCTAATATTGTGCCATTCGTACTAGTGCATTTTATGAATAGCATTATCATCGTGCGTTGTGTGTGTTTCTTCGGGGTCCAGGAGTGGGGAGGCCCCACCTCAGCTGCTTCTGATCCTTTCTGTTCCCCGCCAGGGGCTGCGGAAGATGACAGACCCTACCTAGCGCCCCCAGCCATGAAGTTCAGCCGCAGCCTGTCTGTGCCTGGCTCGGAGGACATCCCTCCGCCGCCCACCACGTCCCCACCTGAACCCCCTTACAGCACGCCCCCAGCCCCCTCCTCCTCTGGTCGCCTCACCCCCTCACTTCGTGGAGGTCCCTTCAACCCGGGCTCCATCCACCCTGCCTCCTCCCCCTCGTCCTTC